CTTGCAGTATTTAGGCCCCCCATACTACACATACCTTGTTGTTTTTCAGGTTCTCGGGGTCTGCCAGGTTTGAAAGGCGAGAAAGGGAACAAACCAGTCCCAGCAGTTCCAGGTGAGGGAAAATACTGTTAATGGGGATTAGAACATCGATAAGATGATAATGATAGTAACGAGGAAGAGGAAGACGAATGACGAAAGGTTAAACATTAGTATACGACACATCGATATGTTCGTGATGGTGATTGTAATTGGAAAATATGATGCTGATTTAGAAATAATGGTGTTGATGATAATGATGACAATAACAATAAAAAATTACTATATATAATGATTTAAATATTGATGATAATGACAATGATTTTGAAGATTGTAAGTATGAAGATGGGATGGGATATGATGATGAATAATGTACAAGTATGGCATCATCTCTTGTGAACTAAATTATGTGAAAGCTCGTCTACATAAGATAGGAACTCATGAAATAATAATTATGTTCACCTTATAGGTGTACCAGGTATACCCGGATTAAACGGTGAACATGGATTGCCATGAAGCAAGGGGGAAAAAGGTAATCTATAATTTTTCTGATATACACGAAGGTGTGTAAAGTTCATACTATGATGTGAAAATCCTGCTGTTAAACATATATTAGTGTATTATTGTAGTTAATAGGGAGTTTTCGATGCACGACGTTAACCTTAACTTTAACGGATGACGTCATAATTTATTCATCTTGCGTTGCGGAGTACGTTAATTTCAGGATTTAACGTGCTCGACGTACGTTAGTTACGGGTGCGCATGCGTATTTCGATTTGTTTACAAAAAGGGGCGGAGCTATCGCGCTGCATGTTGGGAACTACCGTTAAAATTAAGGTTAAGGTCGTGCGGTGGAAACTACACTAGGCCTATTAATATTTCTAATATACATTACTATTATTTTTATGTGACCGAAATTTTTAATACAGTATATTAAGCGCGCTTTTCATATACACAACCCTATGATGTTTATTCTCCTTACAGGTAGCCGAGGAATTATGGGATTGTCAGGTAACTACATTATCTGCGCTAATCTTTCAGATGTGCATTACTGTTTATAAATTATATTGTACTGTGAAAAGAAAAAAAATATATATCTCCTATGCCTCACCCCTTGAATATTGTTGCTGAGGTCCCGTAAAATGACAGCGTATCGTATGTAACAACTTGTGTTTGTGAAACAAGTGCGTATACCGTGCTTTGTTCTGATTGGTCAGTTGTTTAATTTGATTAATACATTTTGACAACTGGTACTTATTGTAAAATTATAACGATTAAACAAAAGTTAATATAACTATGACGTCATTATCACTGAAAACGCAAGCAAACGTTCGTTAATGACATTCAATTAACAAATCTATTCGTTTCAAGGTGAACTTGGTGAAAAGGGAGCACAAGGTTCTCCAGGTGTTCAAGAAATCAAAGGTGAGAGTCTAAATCCGGAAACTCAATGCGCCGTACGACGGTGGTACGACTGCTCAAATTTATTCGCGCGAATCGAAAGCGTCGGCTTAAGGCCAACTCAGACAGCGTCGGCCGACGCAGCCCGACGCGATTTGTTGTCGCGTCGGGTCTGTGTGAGTTTAACGCAGACGCGATGGTGTGCGTCGGGGCAGTCGCGTAGTAGAATATTAAACGTGCTTAATATTTCCAAGATATTTCTCACGACGGCTTAAGACTGTCCCCGACGATAAATCGGGTCGGGTGGTGTCGGCCGACGCTGTCTGAGTTGGCCTTTATGCACATTCGCATTCACATTTATATCGGAGTTTTTGATAAGCGAAAAATTCGCACCCCATCAGATCTCAAGAAGCGAACCGACGCTGTCCACTAGCGAATAAATTCGCCTAGTGGACAGGTTTTAGGACAGGATGGGCATAAAATTGGGTCAGAGGTAGCGGTGGCCCCATAAATTTGCCGACAAGGGGTCCGACGTGTCCAACGGAGGGTCCGAACCAAGGCGACGACGAAGCCTTGGTCGACGGCTGGAATAAAAAAAAAATACTGTTAGGGTTCATGGGGCAAGTTTCTATGGCTTAATTTGGTCCTAAAATGTGCTTTTAAACCACAATATTAGGGATTAGCAATCAAAATAGCGATATCTGGATAGGCAAATTATTATTTATTTTACAATAATTGCAAAATCAATGACAACTTAGAAAGTACATGGACTATCAATAAATGCAATCTAGATATTAGAAGTAGAATTATATATACATAGCATACCATTAATAAGGAATGTAATAAAAATAATATCAATAAAAATCCTTTGATATGAATCAAATTATTATATAATAAAATAATAATGATAATGATAATATAATAATAGTAATTATTTTCATAATTATAATGCATCATTGGAGCAACATTTAAAAACAAAATTTTGGATTTAAAACTGAGAGAGCCGCAAATTCCGATGTTTCCAGCGTGTTTCCAATAACCTTCAATCACTGTCTTTATACCGCCTCATGTTGAGTTTTAATAGGCCTATTATTTTTTATACATGATCGCTGACGGACTGTAAAATCAAGATGTTTTCTAGCCAAAGATAGTTGGCGGACCGCTTACACCACAAAATAAACAAATCCCGAGGAGTCGCAATAATTTTGAGCTGGACAAGTATAAAGCCTATAATAGATATAATCATGTACCTACACAATTACTAACTATGCCAATTCTAAAATAAATATAAGTTGTTAAATACTTTAAATAAACACCTATACGTACACGTGTTAAGTGAAACATATTATGTGTAGAATCTATTTCGATCGTCACTATAATCAGGGAACAATGATATGTTCCCTGCTATAATTGAGAACACCTCCTTGATGATTTCAACAACAACCATACACACTTTAAGGCCTACATTTACTTTACACATTTATGTTTACCTTTGACAGGCGTTCAAGGCCCTCCAGGTAATAGAGGACTGAAAGGCGAAAAGGGTGAGTCGTATGTTAAGCCTAAACATGGCTATGGTAACATCACATCATGATCATATATGCACTATACTAGACTATATATGGGTACATCATGACTATATTTATATGCACATCATTACTGAAAATTGTGATTAAGTGTCTAATACAAGCACGTACATTAAGCGGGATATATCAAGATTGTTAGTTAAATATCATTCAATATCGTAATACAAATGAATAATTGCTATAAAATGTTCCTCCATGTTTGTCCATTTTTTGCAATTATTGTTTTGTTTATATAGGCCATCATTAATAAGACTCTACTCCTGCAGTTAATAGCCTTCATATACTATCATTTTTATGTGCGCAAATTCAATTTGCAATATTATTATTAATAGCATTTTTGTTATTGTTTCTGTTATTATTGTAAATTTGGTTATTCTTGTTATTTTTATATTACTTATTATTATCACGTATTCGTTGTGTCATTAACGTCATCGTCGTAATCATCGTCATTGCCCATCGTCGCCGTCGTAGTTATTGTCATTTGTTTCACATTATTTAAATATACAAAAAGTTTATATATGCTTTTCGAAAGTAAAATGAAACCATTGCAGTTAATAATATGTACATCTTAAACTGAATTAAATTATCTATTTTTGCAGGTTACATTGGAAAACATGGACCGATGGGTCCAAAGGGGGATACTGATGAGTGGTATCTAGAGTATATTCATGAAGTAACCAGAGATGCTTTAAGAAGTCCTCTTCAAATTTATTTAAATCCCGTTCCAAATCTTCTTGACATAAATGATCACCTCATTATTGTTTTACAAGCTTCGAATGCTATTTGCTATTTCTGAGAATCACATTTACATTACTGTATATTTTTGGTGCTTATCATTTATTTGACATTTTTTTAATTATTAAAATGAGAATATTACTTCGGCAGGTAGCATTGGCGAAAAAGGACATCTTGGACCTCGCGGTCCTGTCGGACAAAAGGGTGACATGGGGTCTCGAGGGAGTAAAGGAGATACTGGATCACCAGGTATCACTGGTGCTAAAGGAGCCAAGGGGTCCCAGGGAAGCCGGGGTGTCAATGGTGCCATTGGCGCTAAGGGAATCAAAGGGTCATCAGGATCTCCAGGTGCTACCGGAGCCACTGGTGTTAAGGGGGCTAAGGGTTCACAAGGCATTCGGGGTACTTCTGGAATCAATGGTGCTAAAGGAGCCAAAGGGTCACAAGGGATTCGGGGTGCTACAGGCACCACTGGTGCTAAAGGAGACGAGGGTTCTCAAGGAATTCGGAGAGTTAATGGACCTACCGGAACCACTGGTACCAAGGGAGCCAGAGGTCCACCAGGACCTCGGGGTGCTACTGGGACCCCGGGTCCACGGGGCCCAAAGGGTAAGAAGTTCATTTAGTTTTAAAGATATAAATTAAATACCGTATAGCGTATTATATAATGTAAATAATATTATATATAAAAGTATATATATATAAGTATATACCGGTATGTAATATAAGTACCGTATATATATATATATATATATATATATATATATATATAAGAAAAAAATATCTCAATTTTTTGTGAAACAGTGCTCAATCCCACTGAAAAATATATATTGAAGAGTGGGTTTGCATGTATGCTCCAAGTAAAATAAAATGCAAAAGCAATGAAAAAACGGTGTACAATCATTGAAAGTTGACTTGCGGAACAAAAATTTATTAAGCTATAACAAAATCAAACGGATATTTCGATAGCTCCTGCTATCTTCATCAACGTTAAAGTGAGAAAACTTGGGAGATCTTACATTCTATTTTTATACCTCCATGCATATATTTCCTCCATGCATATACATAAAGAATAATAAACCAATCAGAATCAAGTTATCAATACAATTAGTTGATTGGACCACAAAATATAAGTTCAGTGACAAGTTAATGGGCGAATTAATTACTGTACAATTAAACCATATAAGGGCAAAATGATTATGTAAGCGATAGTTTATTGGCGGTGCCATTGAACCAGCTTAATGTTAAGACTTATTTAACTACAGTAAACAATAACAGGAAATAAAACATAGTAGGATTAATAAGGTCCTATAAAATTAAAACAATTGTGGAATAGAAAATAAATAGCAGAAATATAAGGTATATGTATGAGTTTAAATAATATAACGCATGATGTCATGATGACAAATAAAATACAGTTTAGAAATCAATGAATATAAAAAAAATGTACATAAGTAAAATAATATATAGCATATATAGTTAGATACTGTATTCATAGAGAAATATTGCGTATGAAGGCATAATCACATGTAGAGCCTATAGTCTTATTTAGACCCTTAATGTGAGTTTTTAACCGGATTATCCATTTCATTTCTGCGTTACGTCGTTCTTGTGTTGATTTAAAATTGCAACCTATTATTATAGCCCTAAAGTCATTGATGGTGTGATTAGGTGAATAAAAATGTACACTTACTGGGCAGTTGAGTTTGTGTCTTATAGATGATTTGTGGTTGTTCATTCTAGATCTGAAAGTTAGACCAGTTTCACCAACATAGTTTCCCTCGTTGCATTTGTTGCAGTATATGAGGTACAGTATATAATATTGGGCGAGTTACAATTCAGTACTG